AAACAGCTGAAATTACCGCCACATCATCCTAATCCAACTTCGCCCTTGCAAATGTTACGATTTGATACAAAGGCTTTTTAAAATAATTATTTTTAAGTACTCTTCACTTTATTTATATACTTTACCACTGTCCTACAGGAACAAGATTCAACATCTCTTTGCGGAATAGGTGCTAATATGCGAAAGAGTTGTGACAGCAGCGCTGCCCTTCCAGCACGTACACTAGTGAAATGTTATGTCGGAATAAAAAAAGCATAATAGTAGATAAGGAAATCATCAATCATCGTACATCGCAAGAAAACGGCATTATAATGTTAACAGTCACTCAAATGCAATTTTGGCGAAAGGAGATGATGTAACCTGACTTCATTTTATGGGTAACTCAAAATTCATTCGCGACTAGAAGGATTAACGACAAAATGTGAGTATTCAAGCTTCTTTTTGCGATTCCAATATTACCAGCTGATACCGCGTCCGTATGAATGCGTTTTTAAAATAGCCACAAATTGATAGTCTGATCACGTATTAAAAATGAGATTACCTTTCGATGGAACTCCAGTCTGTCTACAAGAAGCTTACTGTACGTCTCATTGCAAATACCATATCCGGAAGTATTAAGATGTTTCCAAAACTGTCCCAATTGTTTTATACGGGAAATGAACCTGCAATTTTCTAAATGTAGATTACACTATCAAAATTATCTTAGTACTTGAGAAGAGACATCTTCCAATTTGCTTTATAAACAAAACTTGCTGATCTTGGACGAATCTAAACAATACTAACGCAATATTGTAAGCATACGTTATAAACACACGCGAGCTTGGTTTTTTTCATCTTTCAATGTTTCTATTCTCGAAAACAGGTTAATAATCAATTTCCGATGACCATCCGTTCTCGTCACTTCCAAATGACTCACCTATGTGATTCCTCGGGAACTCGCCTATGTCCATCGCGTATCAGCTTATGTAAAAGATGGCAAAACTGGAAAAATCGCGTAAACAACTCAAAAAATAACTTAGCAAATGGCTATCTCCACTTGGCGAAATCAACATGAAAATAGCTTTTGTGGTAATTTCCCATAACCATTCATGATAACCGTAATCCGTTTTATGTGTTCAATCTTTGATGTTCAAAGCTTATTCGAATATTACTGTATACAACTAATCCAGTAAGAAAAAAAGTCTTAATAAAGTAAAAATTTCCAAGCAGTTGGAATTCATCTAAGATAACTTACCTTCCATGTCATCACCGGATTTTTTTCCAGTTGTATCCTGTTGACAGCATTCCAGAAAACGGCTGATGACCTGTAATTGAGATAAGTTTATATTAAAAAACCTAACTAAGTTTTAAAAGAACACCAAATTTTTTCTTTTCTTTCTACTTCAAAGCATGTTCGAACTCCTTGAGAAGAAATAACAAATGAGATAAGTACTTACCTTCGATATATTTCTAATGCTTCTGCAATTGAGGCAGTGTTACACAAATAATCTAGCACCCTGACTTACCTAATTCACAATTTGTAATCCTTACAAGCCAACAACTGCACGCAAGTCATGCTTGACTTGGGAAAATCATCTGCGAAAGACCCTCCCTCTTCAAACGAATATTGTTCGTAACAATGTTATTTTTCATATGACATTCCTCACAAAAAAGTTTTTCTTCCATATAGCTATATTATCAATAGCGCTGTCTGCTCGCAAGCATGTATCTTTCGCTAGTTAGATTGAGACTTTTCAAGAGCAAAAATTGTAAAAGTTACCTTTCTGTATGAGTGCCCACAATAAGACGACGTGCGTGTTTGGGTTTCAGAGGAACCTCATATTTAGTCAGCGCCTTGTGCACTGCTTCCAGCTGCAAACGTGAGAACATGAAAAAGCAAGGACTGTTCAAAAAAGCTGTGCTCACCTGCCCTTTAACGAATGCTTCACGGTCCATACGCTGTGATTACCAGATATTCTGAGAAACTGGAGGGGCCCTAAGAAAACCATTTATGCTAGATTCTTGAGTAAAAAGTTGCACAATGATACGTTGATGGAAATGGGACACTCTAAATGTCCAAAAGAAAGAAAGAACAGATCCGTTCCTTATAGTTCAGCTTCACCCGTACCTAATTAGGTTCCAAAAGCAGCTTAAGCACACTTAAAGGGATAACTTTCAAGTCTAACAAAGTTCGAAGACTAGCGGAACCGGCTGATTCGTCATATGTTCGCGGCTGCTTCGCCTCGTGACCGCATCCCAGGGCTTGCTGCACTCTACCTTTAACGCCGGTCGAATCGGGCGCGGAAACGCATCCATTCGTTCAACGAGGCTTAAATTTTGCGGGGAACATGTTTTCCCTTTCGGAATCATTAATTCCCAAAAATTCACAAGCAATTGCCAATGAAGTGCGCCACAATCCCACCTTTTCCTAAATTCCATTTGATTGGAAATTTCGGCCAGAGAGCTATGAGATTAAGTGCTGTTTTATTTTATCCCATTTGAAATTTTCCCATTTGGCCTAAATTTCGCTCAGGGGATGTGATGTGCTGGTTGAGAATTGTCTCCATTTTGCATGGTAAGACTACTGTAGGGTTACAGTAGGTTGACGGAGTGGTCGAAACCGAGAAATCGCCTGAAAATTGGTCCAGTAGGGTCGTTAATGTGCTGATCAGGAAAATTAGCTAGTAAAATCTTCCAAATTTGGATGGCACTGGTTTATCAGTTAGCAAGTGCAAAAATTGATTCGCTGAAGGCCTCGGCGGAATTTTGGATCTCAATTATTAACCCTAAAATAAGAAGTAATGTGATATGAATATGACTTTCCCAATCAGCCGAGGCCTTCAGCGAGTCAATCCTTGC